GAAACGGGTCATCATTTCATATCAAACTCACCTATGACATTGCCCTCACATTGACATGTTGCAATTTTCTAGCGTTCGCTTAGTATCGGAAAAACATTTGTTTTTTCTACATTTTCTGCTTTTATAGTCCTCACGTTGAATTAGTGAACCATTTACCTCCAGATTATGAAAATTAAATATCTAAGGAACTTTTTCATGAATGAATAAAACCATTTAAAGGAAAATTACTTCCGTCATTTTTGGGTTGTTTCGGTCATGTTTTGTAATATTTGTATTGCGTAATGCCGTTTTGACCGCGCTCAGCAACGGGGCTAGCTGGGGATTGCGCTGTTATGCAAAATGAGCATGCGCTAAACGCTATTTACCGCCAAATCTGAAAAGAGGAGTAAATTTCGAGCATTTAGATGTGTAAAACTTTGTAGTTTGGGAAAATTTAGGTCCGTCAAATGGAGATTGGATTCTGTGCGTCCGCGATTATTCTTGTTCTATGTTATATAAGAAAAGTCGACGCCGTGTAGCCTTTGAAATGTATTTTAAGCCTTTGAGCAGCAATATCGACTTCCTTTATTTCAACTTCATATAAATTGTTGTCTGCGGCTCCCAATTTTCTTTTTTTATCGGGCTTCGATAAAGATATCTCATCCAGCAGTCTATTTGGCATGCTTCTCACTCTTTTCGGTCTGCTGTCCGCCATATTGAAACAGCGAACGGCGCGCGTAAAATTACAAGAACGGGGCCTGGCGCCAAATGTCCTGTTAATATGGCAAAGAGTTTGATATGTAAAGGGCAGCTGTCTTTTTGTTAATTCCGTATTTGCTGTAAACATGTAGTTTATTTGTTTATTATACTCATTTGGAAATCAATGGCACCTCTTGCAATCACATTGGATCTTAGCAGAGTGATTTTAGGCTGAATCAACCGCATCAGCATATGAGGTAGATTTTCAAAATTGCTGGCGCGAGAGTCCAAATCAATCAAGAATAACCAATCTGATTAAGGTATACCACTCAATCAGCCACTCAATTTAACAGTGAATAGACACAAAAATTGAGTATTTTTAAATCGAATCTAAATTTCTCAAAAATATAAGAAAATTTTACGTGTTAAAACGCAATAATCTAAACGTGCAAAACACAAATGAAAAAAATTGTTGTCGTTATGAATATAATAAAGTGGTAATTGGTGTGAATTCAAACTTGTGAGTATTACATATAAGCTCGGGAAGTTGTTTTGCTATGACTATTATAGAGGCTATTACAAATTAAATATCGAATAAACTACAAAATAAGTATCGATTAAACTTCAAAAGAGAGTTTTTGAGAATGAACAAATAAAATTTCAAAGCTTTTAGAGTCGACAGTAATCACTTCATTAATATTCGAAAAGAAATTACATTATATTACTTTATATTCGACGTTTCAACCTTGATGAATTCGTATTGTTTTGAAGTTTCAAAGGTTCTATTTTTAAACTTTACTACAACTGTAAACTGCCTATGATGCAGTAGGAAATCGGATGATGTTTACCCAACTATTATGACTAGTATATTTGTTTCCCGAAGGATAGACTATCAACAATGAGTCATTTCATAGCAAATAATATAATTCGTTCTATAATAGCTAGACGAAGCGGATAATTCGTGTTGACGGATGATTCGTCTGTTTGCCCATGTTTAAACCCAGCGAACTATACAGAAGACGAACTATCTTTCGCTTACTCAAGTACCGAACAAAGTGACTATTCAACACTACAAGTGTACAAACTTGCAACGGCACAGGATCGAAATACCTCGCGAAACGTTTTTAAATTGCAAAACAGAACCGCAAGTTTGTATAAGAACTACCATCTGGCCCTTTCTTCTTTTAATCCCCCCAGAAGAAAATTATTTTACACAACATGTTTATTAAGGATAAAATACGATTGATATATGTTCTAATACAGTATATTCCCACGGTATACTTAAAGTAGAGAACCCTACGAACTATTATTTAACAATTTTTTAATAATAGCTACATATGCAAGGCTAGGCACAAAACATGGCATCATGCTGGGTGCTGAGAGGATGTGGCAATTGAAAGCTAGTTATTGAAGAAAATATTCCAACGAGAAACATTCTAGAGCTTTAGTTTCTTTCCTGTTTACATTGTGGGGCAAAGTGCTATCGTCTGAGATTTAGTTAGGTATTTCTAAGGCCCTTTCCTAATTCTATTTCAAAAAGCGAGCGGTGATATTAGTAATAATTTATACACGCATGCAAAATCCTATGATTAAGTGTGTTTCTTACGGTATACGTATACAGTTGAAAATACCCCGACTAACACCATTTTCGACTAAATATTGTACAACATTGAATTGTGTTTTATTCATTAAAAATATCGACGAATAAAGCGAAATTTCCTACTCCATTTCGCCCAAGCGAATCATGCTTAGGATTCTGAATCTGACTTCGGTATTTTTCTAGCCATGCACATATTATCGTTTAGTGATATATTTACGTCACTAAAATTGAAACAAAAAACGCTTAACACTTACCAAAGGTAAAATGCTTCTTAAAGGTCAAAGAAAAGCACTTCTTCTTGATTATATTGTATGTAGTGAGATTTTTATAACCAGCACGAAGCAAACATGTTAGGCGTCATTAAAAATGTTTTGAAAGTTATTTACCTCCTGCTATCAAAAAAATGCTTTCAACTGAATCATCCGCAGCATTCCTAACACTGATCTAAAATTAAACTGGATCATGCATCAGGTGTGCAAAAATAAAGAAAATTCAGGAAATGATTATTGACCAAGCGTACAGCCTGTACTTTGAAATATCATTCGGTCTGATATTTCACAGTACAGACCGAACAAGCGAGGTCAATAATTTGTTTATTATATAGCTGAAATCCATGAGACACATACAGAATATACGGAATACGGCCCGGATATGGGTTTTTATGGACCGCTCATCAACCAATCAGAAAAGAGGATTTCGAAAAGTCATAATTTATAATAATTGCTGTTAATGTGACATCTCAATGTTGTATTGACGAGTTGACAAAATATATGTATCATTAATGTATCAACCGTAATTTATATTTAGATTTTTCGTAATGGTTGCGGGATTACACGAACAAAAATCATTTTGACTGAAAAAGAGCAAAAGTGACCTAAAATTGTTCACCGAAAACAATTATTCTTGATCATATAGAGGTCGGTTTTTGCAGAGAATGCCAGAATGGTGGTATGTTGTTGAGATTCATAATTGTCACGCGGAGTTCTCAGTGCCATGCCAAGCCTCTCGCTAGGCTATTGTAAGATAATTTATTCAAAATTGTTCGACATGCTGTTGGCAAGTTCTGTAGCGTATACATGTTATAGCTAATTTTGTACTACGGTGGACAGAACAGAATATCTTTTAGAAATCATGATTCGCGCACATGCACAAGATAAGGGTGGCGGTAGTCAAGATCTTCGATTTTCCTACTCCAGAATAGGAAGGCGTATTTGGTATGATACGATGAATTCTCTTAAGCCGCATTCACACTATGTGCTTTGACCTGGCCTGGACAAGCCCTAGATCTAGATGTGAACGTTGTTTATATTGCCCAGGCAAGGCCTGGACCTGGTCTAGGCCACAAAAATACAGGTTAATTAACAGCAGAAGGTGGCCTGGACCTGACCTGGGGCAAGATTTTGGTAATGTGAATTTACCTATTCCTGACAAATTTTGAACTTAATGGTATGATTTGTATAGGGATCCATATTGTATTATCACTTTTCGGCGTGTTTTGAGTCTTTTTTCAAGTATTTCGTCAATTACTTTGTGTATCAGATATTGCGTATGAAACAAGGAAGACAGTGTGAACGTGGCACATATTACCTAGACTTGTCCTAGACCTGGTCTAGGCCAGGTCTAGGCCTGAAGTGTAAACGCGGTTTTAGTCTGCCGTTTAGATTTTGAATGGTTTGGGTATCCACATGTACCAAAACATTCTTTTGAATGATTTATTTTAGGGTAAAAACCCCTCCCACCCCCATTTGAATTCAAAACGTCTCTTTTTCGTCCTAAAATCAACGATCAGTGTGTTAGTTCGAAATAATACAGCATTGTGCTTATTGTGCTATTGTGTAGCTAATTGCCTTCAGGCTACACTGCCTTGGTAGCTTTTGCGTGACACTAGGTCACACATTCAATCTACGTTAGACTGTCATATGGTAAAGACCTTTAATTACGCGCAAATAATTCACAAAAATTTATCTACGACCATTGGAGTACAAGTGTAAACCAAAGTACGTAAGTTTAATAGCTATTCGTTATATATTTTATTGTTTATAGTTAGTTTGTTAATGACATTGACATTGTGTTTTGCTGCATGGTTTAAGCAATTTAGCTTAGTAGTTTTTGCTGTCATGTTTTAGTTCGAACCTACACCAACCACATCTATATCTACATCTGCGTCTATTCATCAACCTAAAAATTAGCTACAATTCTACGCATCTACAGTATATTATCTACGCCTAACCTACGAGTTACACATCGTGATATACCGATTCAAATATCTCGCTACCTCGACACGTTGCGTGACTTGTACAAAGGCCCTTGTTCTAATTGATTAAAATTTATTAGTTGTACATTCGTTGTTGAGTTCGAATATTCTATATCACTTGTATCGGCATCTAACCTGTGACTCTTGTATTCTGCGACCGGGAGTTACATTAGTTCGAATTTGATTTGCGTTACTTCGGTATCGTGATTGCGACCACTATCTAATACAAACAATGTGTTGCTAAAAACTGAAAAGGGGCATTGTCCTGTTATATCTGCGTTGGTATGCGAAGAATGTGCCTGGGGTTATGTGTTAGATCGCGTGCAACCCAAACTGCGAACACTTTATTATCATTATCACAAGGTTAATTACGTTGAGCTGTATCTGTCAACGCAAGGCTATTGCCTCTCTTTATCATCAGTCAACATACCAATATTATAAGAAGGACGTTATTAATTATCACCATTAATGGCCCAAGGAAGCGATTTACAGACATTGCGTGATCTCACTGAAAGGACAATAAGAAATAGCGACGTACAGCCGGATGATTCGGTAAGCAACATTGGTTCAGAAAACTACTCACGTTTATCATTGCGCTCGCGCGCTAGTTCAAGATCGTCGACACGTAGTTCTGCCAGTGCAAAGGCTAGAGCCAAACGAGCTGTTATTGAAGCCGAAATAGCCTTGATTCAGCGTTTTTGTGCGATCGAAGAGGAAGAACTCCGTTTGCAACAAAGGAAAAGACAATTGGAGCTGCAAAAAAACTTGGCTAAAGCCGAAGCGGAAGAACGGGCTTATGCAGAACAAGAGGAACTAGAAACGTTTCATACCATAGACCAAACCGGACCAGACCAGACTAGCCTAATTAACCAGGAACCAGAACGAAGCCGATTCGAGCAATCAGTGCTGGCAACGAAAGAGTTGGACGATAAACTGAAGGCGGAAAACGCGCGTGCGGATGAAGCGATCCAAAGAATCTCTTTGGCCCAAATCCAAACACAGGAAAGGCATAGTGCTAAGTCAGAATCACCACACTCCTTGCCAAGCAACCCTTATCCCCAAAACGTACCGCGGAACGATTACACCCCACACAACACTCAGCCTGTTAGGAACGGTGGAGATATATTTGTAAAATTGCTCGAGTCTCAAGACCGTCAGAGTCACATGTTCAATCAACTCCTCCAGCAGCAACAAGCCAGCATCAATGCCCTGACCCTTCCTCATCCTGATCTTCCCCTCTTCGACGGTGATCCTACCAAGTACTGCGACTTCATACGATCGTTTGAGAACTTAATCGAGATGAAAACTAGTAGTCCCAGTTCTAGATTGTATTATTTGGTACAGTATACAACCGGACAGGTTCAAGAATTAATGCGCAGCTGTCTCCCGAAGAAAGACGGCGAAGGATATCGTGAAGCCAGAAAACTGTTGTCGGAACGGTTTGGTCAACCATATAAGATCGCCTGTGCCTTGGTTGATAAGATCGCGAATGGGCCCACGATTAAAGCTGATGACGGCGCGGGTCTCCAGAAACTGTCCGTTCAGTTAACCAGCTGTAGTAATACTCTAACAGAAATCGGTTATGTGAGCAAGCTTCAAAATCCAGACACCTTGAAAAAAATCGTGGATCGCCTGCCCGTGAGCCTCAGGGTAAAGTGGCGAGAGTTAGTTGACGTCATCATTCAAAGGGAAGATCGGGAATTTACCGTCAAAGATCTAACGGACTTTGTTGTCGCAAGAGCTAGAGTAGCAAACCATCCTATCTTCGGAAAGATACACAACGATGGCAAGAATCCAGGGAATGTGAACAACCAAAGACCGCAACACAAAGCAAGGAACTATGCGACAGATGGTTTCCAACGCAACAACAGAGATGGACCTAAGCAAGGTTTAAAGTGTCCTTCTTGCGAATCAAACCACTGGTTATCGCAATGCCAAGCCTTTAAGAAGTTGACTGTTGAAGATCGCCATAAACTAGTTCGCAGAAAGAACCTCTGCATCAATTGTTTAGTCAGCGGACATTTTGTTAAAGATTGCCCAAAGGGAAGCTTCTGTCGTGTGAGTGACTGCAAGGAGAAGCATTCAACATTCTTGCACCCGAAGCGGACGAGGGAAGCCTTGGAGCCAAAGAAGGACAAGCAAGAGGAAACTCCCGATCCCCCGCCAAAGCTAGAGGCGGGAAAGGAAGAAGTTGTCAACAAGGAGCTAATTAATGGCTATGTTAAAATCAAAAGCGAAAGTCAACCTGTTATCAAAGGTTTGTCTACCACTGGTCTAGCAGTCGTTCCTGTTAAAGTAAAAGCCAAAGGCACAAACAAGACGATTGAAACGTACGCGTTTTTGGACAATGGCTCGAACACATCATTTTGTACCGAGAGGCTATTGGAGCAACTCGAAATCGACGGTAAAGCCACGGCCGTGTCTCTGACAACGATGGAAAGCGTGAGTAAGGCAGTCGAATGTTCGTCCGTGAATTTAAAGGTTTTTGATCTCGATGAAAGGAACTTTGTTGAGCTATCGAATGTTTTCTCGAGGCCGCGTCTGCCTGTGTCGAAAGACTGCATAGCTAACCAAGGCGACGTTAAACGTTGGCCGCATCTAACTGGGATCAAAATCGAAGAGATCGACGCGGAGGTTGGATTGTTGATTGGAAGCGACGTACCTGAAGTCTTGCAGCCCCTAGAGGTGAGAAAGGGCAACAACGGTGGTCCATTTGCTACACGTACTATCTTTGGATGGGTTCTAAACGGACCATTGGGCAGAAGAGTAAATCAGCCACCCACGTCAAATTTCGCTGATGCAAACCCGACATTGGAGCTGACCAAGCAGTTTGAGAAGTTTTGTAACATGGAATTCAATGATTCGGTGTATGATCCCAAAACATCCCTGTCCCAAAACGATCGAAAGGCAATGAGAATAATGGAAGCCAGCGTTAAGCTCAAGAACGATCACTATGAAATAGCGCTTCCGTGGAAGAACTATCCGCCTTGTTTAGAGAACAATAAACCCGTCGCTGAACACCGTTTGAATCTGCTTAAGAAGCGACTGCAACGTGATCCAACACTGTTGTCGAAGTACGCAGCATTCATGGAAGATCTCCTGAGCAAAGGTTATGCCCAATGTGTGCAAGATAACAAGACAGGGCCTCTCAATACGTATTGGTACCTTCCGCACCATCCTGTTTTCCACCCTAAGAAACCCGAAAAGACCAGAGTGGTGTTCGACTGTTCAGCCAAATATCGGGGAACATCCTTGAACGACCAGCTTCTACAGGGGCCGGACTTGACAAATTCGCTCGTGGGAGTTCTCACTCGTTTTCGCGAAGAAAGGGTCGCCCTTACATCCGATGTTGAAGCAATGTTCCACCAAGTGCTAGTTCGACCAAGTGACTGCGATGCGCTACGTTTTCTTTGGTGGCCAAATGGAAATCTCAGTCAACCTCCTGAAGAATTTCAAATGAGAGTGCATCTGTTCGGTGGAGCGTCTTCACCCAGTTGCGCCAATTTCGCGTTGCGTAAGACTGCTGAAGACAACAAGGAAGAGTTCGATCCTGTCGCAATAGAGACTGTCAACAAGAATTTTTATGTCGATGATTGTCTTAAATCGACTGCGACCGACGCTGAAGCAATTCGACTTGCAAGCCAACTTCGACAACTTCTCGCGAAAGGAGGTTTTCGATTGACCAAATGGATGTCGAATTCGAGGGAGGTGATGAAGTCCTTACCCGAATCTGAGAGAGCCCCATCGGTGAAGGAGTTGGACTTCGAGAAGGAAAAAATAGAAAGAGCTCTTGGCCTCCAGTGGAATGTCGTCTCCGATCAATTTGGATTCAAGATAATCCTGAAAGAAAGACCACAGACGAGAAGGGTAATACTGTCGATTGTATCTTCGATCTACGATCCGTTGGGATTTGTTGCCCCGTTCATCTTCCAAGCCAAATTGTTCCTGCAGGACTTGTGCCGCAAGAAGCTGGATTGGGATGACGTAATATCCGAAGAAGACCAAAAACGATGGAAGATGTGGCTTGACGACCTGCCGAAGCTCGAGAACGTTGTTATCAACAGATGTCTGAAACCGGCCAACTTTGGTGACATTACCTCCTGCCAGGTTCACAATTTCTCCGACGCCTCGCAAGTGGGATATGGCGCTGTGACATATCTCAGGTTAACAGACAACCAAGGCAACGTGAGTTGTTCATTTGTTATGGGAAAGTCTAGATTGGCTCCTCTCAAGTCCATAACAGTTCCAAGAATGGAACTATCAGCTGCTGTTCTAGCCACAAGATTGGACAAGATAACAAGACAAGAATTAAGTATACCGGTGGATGAGTCATTTTTCTGGACTGACAGCACGTGTGTTCTGCGGTACATAGAGAACGATAGCAAACGTTTTCAAACCTTTGTTGCTAATCGTGTGGCAGCAATTCGAGATTCATCTTCGCCATCCCAGTGGAATCACGTAGCTACACAGCTAAACCCAGCAGACGAAGCGTCTCGTGGAGTACCAGCCGATGAAATGCAACGTTGGATACATGGTCCAGAATTTCTGTCTCAACCAATGGATAGCTGGCCTCGAAGACCTGCAGACATTGGAGGTGTTCCCAGCGATGATCCAGAAATAAAAGAGAGTGCAAAGGTTTACGCGACTACTACGACTTCGGAACACTGGATATCAAAAAAATTTGAGCGAGTTTCGTCATGGAACAAGCTGAAAAGGGTAGTTGCATGGGCACTACGCTATAAATCCATCTTACGAGAACGTACTAAAGACAAGCCAATGGATGATCTCCTGCCCGAAATCAACCGGACTGTTGTCAAAACTATACGACCGATGAGCGTGTCCGAAATCAACGAAGCCGAGAGAGAAATCCTACGATTGGTCCAGAGAGAATCTTACCACGATGAGCTGACGAGTGCAACCTATACGGAGCAACCAAATTCTCATGGAAGATCCAAATCGATAAAGAAGAGCAGTTCCGTATATAAGCTGGATCCTATGCTAGTTAATGGCCTTCTCTGCGTGGGCGGACGATTACAACAGGCACCAATAGATGACGAGGCTAAGCACCCAATCATCCTCCCGAAGAAGCACCACATCGTCACATTAATCGTACGACATTTCCACGCCTTATCTGGACATTCTGGAACAGAGCACACCTTATCGCTAATCAGACGCCGTTACTGGATCGTAAAAGGGAGATCGAGCGTACGCAGTATCCTTAGTCTCTGTTTTGACTGCAAGCGACGACAGGCACCAGTGCAACAACAAAAAATGGCAAGTTTACCGGTTGACAGAGTTACGCCATCACAACCGCCCTTTACGTGCGTCGGAGTCGATTGTTTTGGCCCTTTCGTTGTAAGGCGCGGAAGAAGTGTCGTGAAACGGTATGGGGTTCTTTTCACATGCCTGGCAATTCGAGCAGTTCACGTCGAAGTCGCTCATTCATTGGATACAGCGTCCTTCATAAATGCTTTGAGGAGGTTTATCGCGAGACGGGGAACACCTAAGGAAATGCGCTCGGATAACGGCGGCAATTTTATTGGCGGGGAAAAAGAGTTACGGGAAGCGATATCCGAATGGAACCAAACCCAAGTCCACGAGTTTTTATTACAAAGGGATATTAAGTGGACTTTCAATCCCCCGGCTAGTTCCCATTTCGGTGGCGTATGGGAGCGATGTATCAGGACAGTGCGCAAGGTCCTGAACGCACTACTCAAGGAACAGGTTTTAGATGACGAAGGATTGGCTACGTTAATGTGCGAAGTAGAGTCGGTAATTAATGGACGGCCCATTACAAAATTATCGGACGATCCTCGTGACTTGAGCCCTCTTACCCCAAACCACCTGCTGCTGCTACGTTCTGGACCAGTTGTACCACCAGGAAGTTTCGTGAAGAACGACAAGTACGGTCAACGCAGATGGCGTCAGGTGCAATATCTAGCAGATATATTTTGGCGACGATGGACTCGGGAATATTTACCGATGTTGCAAGAAAGGCAAGTGTGGAATAAAACCTGGCAGAACATAGCAGTCGATGATGTTGTCCTGGTAGTCGATGAAAAAACACCTCGTGGATCGTGGCCGTTAGGACGAGTGTTGGAGGTTCATTCCAACCGAAAGGACGGGCTCGTGCGATCGCTGAAAGTGAAGACCGGTACTACAGTACTGACAAGAGCCATCTGCAAGATCGTTCTGCTGGAAGCAGCTGGTACATTGAACGATAAGTAGAACACTATAATTTCAATTTGTTAAAGAAAAACAATCGCTGCAATATTTCAAACTATCAACCAGGTCGGGTATTGTTTAAAAGGCTGTTAAATTGCCTTTAGGGGCCGGAATGTTAGTTCGAAATAATACAGCATTGTGCTTATTGTGCTATTGTGTAGCTAATTGCCTTCAGGCTACACTGCCTTGGTAGCTTTTGCGTGACACTAGGTCACACATTCAATCTACGTTAGACTGTCATATGGTAAAGACCTTTAATTACGCGCAAATAATTCACAAAAATTTATCTACGACCATTGGAGTACAAGTGCATGTAAACCAAAGTACGTAAGTTTAATAGCTATTCGTTATATATTTTATTGTTTATAGTTAGTTTGTTAATGACATTGACATTGTGTTTTGCTGCATGGTTTAAGCAATTTAGCTTAGTAGTTTTTGCTGTCATGTTTTAGTTCGAACCTACACCAACCACATCTATATCTACATCTGCGTCTATTCATCAACCTAAAAATTAGCTACAATTCTACGCATCTACAGTATATTATCTACGCCTAACCTACGAGTTACACATCGTGATATACCGATTCAAATATCTCGCTACCTCGACACGTTGCGTGACTTGTACAAAGGCCCTTGTTCTAATTGATTAAAATTTATTAGTTGTACATTCGTTGTTGAGTTCGAATATTCTATATCACTTGTATCGGCATCTAACCTGTGACTCTTGTATTCTGCGACCGGGAGTTACACAGTGTGCATGGCGATACAGTTGCTGAAAAAAATATTCACCCACATACTGTATCTATAGTTATCTATATTTTCTCTTTAAAAAAAAATAATATGTATCAGAAACATTCTTTAACTTCTTAGACCCAATGAAAGAATCACATTCACTTTTACTTGTCCCATTTAGGGCTGAAAGAAAAAAGGTTTGCGTGAGAATATTGTTTGTTGAAATACTTTTCATATCTTCCAATTTTTGTTCCCTGGTCATAGTCGACAGTTACTACGACAAAATATTTGAACCAAAATCGGGGTACTTAGGTATCCTAAGCCTTGTGCTAAGGGTTGTGACCGAGTTGAATTTATGGAACGGGTTTTTGCTTTAGGAATTTAGAGAATTCGAATTAAGGATTTGATATTTCTAGGCTTTATGAATATGAACTTCATGTCCCTTAATTAACGCGATTCATCAATATACGCAACTGAAGTGATTTTTGATCGCCATTATTTTCATTTCTCTGTTGCTATGATACAATGCTGTTGCCATGATACAATGCAATAACTTAAATATGAAATATTCACCAAAATTTTATAAATATTGGAATTGACGTCGCCAGCATCGATAAGTAGGTCATTATTTTATATTACTAGATTTATATTACTATTACTATATATTTTTATAATCGGTTGTATCTATGTTGTTGGTTGATAAATAAAAACAATCGTCGTTTTAAACTGGGTTTCTTAGAGTTGTATAACGAAAAATAATTATTACATGGCTAAAGATTTTGCCCGTCGCGATTGATATATGCACTCACGCATAGTTTAAAGAAAAAACACCAACGTCATAATGTAAGAGCTATATTATGAGGTGAATGAACAGCTGAGAACCAGAACACACTAATTAAACCTCCGCCTCGATATTCGCGGTTCGACTTCGGTCTGACCTCGGTTCAACCGCGATCACACCGAGGTTTGACCTAGGTTAACCCTGGTTTTTGTTAGGTTATTTCTGGACAGTAATGTACTTCCTGTTGTAAGTCATAGAATTAGCAACACAGTTTGTTGTAGGAAACTATTTTAAAACACGAAAAAACCTACCAACAGCCTATCCGTAGTTGATATTGTGACAAGGATAGTTGCAGATGTAGAATTTAGGAGGACAGTGAAGGACGGGTTTTGGATAACATTTACCACCAATGTCTTCGCAAAATGCTTTTTTCAACCCTTGGTCACCTACAATATGTTATAATGAAAGCACTATGTGTTTAAAGATGTATTTGTGTGTATAATATTATGGCGCGCGCTGCAAAATAATTATTATTATCAACTCAAACAATTATCTGAAAGGACATTACAAAGTTGCGGGTTTTAGTCAATAAAATAGCGAATAATACAACTATAAAAATAGGTACGCAATGCGTACATGTGGGTAGCCTCGAAAACATTTGCAAATTATTGGCTGCGGTGAAGCTATGGTTTGGCAAAAAAATTCAACTTTGATTCAATGTCAAACTACAGGCTGCTATAGTGGCGACTCAATATAAACTAATGTTTATAATTTTATTTTCTAATGCCATATGTTAGCCAGTCGAATTCATGAAATCGATTTTTTTGCACAATATATTTAATTTTTTTATTGTATTAATTTAAATACATTTTTAACGACAGAATAATAACATATATAAAAACATATTTACAAAAGATAGGAAATGCATGGTTTTTAAAAAACAGAATAGGTGGACAGAACAAAAAAGAGAGTAAGGTTCTAGAGTGGTGGTACATATCGTCTGATAACATAAAGCTTAGTTTGGAAGGAGAGAAAGGTTTTTAGACGTTTTCAAAGTATTTCTTTTTTATCTTCCTTGATTATTTATTAGCTAGCATAGCATTCAATTTGACAGCCTTCAACAGCATTGTGCATCAGCTCATAGCTAGATGTTCCACAGATGACTCGCTAGATCAAATGACACCAGAAAAGCTTATCAATCAATTGATAGCAGACATTGATGAACTGGACATTGTTTATGACACTATCCAGAAGAAAATCATTTAACTATCCTAAAAGTTATGTTTATAAGAACTGCACAGTTGTAAACATAAAATAAACTAAAACAAAAAAAAAGTATAAAGTTCTGTTAAATTATGTTAAAGCTTCCTAGTGACAATTGACGCTTGTTATTTGACAAAATGGTATATATTTCATATCATTTAATTAAAGAATCTTATACGACTTTGAACTTATATATTTATATGTTAGGTCTTGATTTGAATAAATTATCAGTAGTTTACATACACATATGTTTCTACAATATACACATTGTCTGTGAGTTTAAACTAACTTGAGTAAAATTTTTATATTAATTATATGTCTAAACGTGGAATTTTGGGAATGGGACTTGTTGCAATGACTATATTGGTCTTTGATTGCTATTTTTCTATACAAGCTGATCTATCAAGTCCTCTGCATTTTAGATATCTCAGCCATTCCCTTCCATCTTTCACCAGTAGTTAAGGGGTGCTGACATATTTTCGATGCATGTGTTACATTTTTCGTGAAACCACAGTGAAACTGAAGCATAACTTTTGCCAGTTTCATTAAAAACTGAAGCATAACCTTTGCCAGTTTCATCCAAATAGTATAAAGAAACTAAACCTTGAGATCTTGTTATAAATCAATATGTTCTGTTTGTATCCCTCCACTGCTGTTTGTGAATTTAAGCATAATTACTTTGCTCAATTTTAGTGTTTGCAGGAAGCATAATTTAGCATTTAATATTTTGATCCTTTTGAAGCAAATGGACTATAAATATTTCATATTCAAAAAATACAAATGTGTGCAAATTAACATTTCCATGTATGTACAAGTCATTAAATATATACAAACTATTAAATATGCAGGGTGTACCAATATCCACTCTGTTTTACAAAAGCCATTTTAAATTTCCACAGGCCTAAAATCTATTATGGTTTTATAGCCCAAACGTTTTTAAATTTTAACTGTTTGAAATTAATCAACAAATGAAATGGGCGATATAAGCAAGTTTTAATACTTATGCTTGTGTTACCTTTGGAAATCATATACAATTATATATGGATAATGAATAGCATGTTAAAAGTACTTACGAATCAATAAATATGTTACCCCATGCCAAAAGTACTTCGAAATCAATAAATATGTTCCCCAATTCCAGAAATCGTGCAATTGCAACTGTTAGTGGTGTGCATCCATGTTAGTTCGTTTCGGTCATCCGACAATCACCGAAGATGTCAACAAACGCTATGATAGTTCATAGTTCATAATCGTGACAATGAATCGTGATCACTCGTGATCTGTTCACTTATCCGACGATTTCCGAAGTTGTGGACATTTAGACGGACGCGGACACTTTTCAGCTATAACATAGTGGTTAGCCGCGCATGCGCGGCTACCCACAAAAACTAACAATGGAAAAAAAAACAACGTTTACTGGCAGGCAAAGGAAGGCATAAAAATAATGGGTCATTAAATTCCACGCGCTTCCTTATCACCCTGTCTTTATGATCAGTGATCCAACATGTTCACATGATCAACAATCTGCCCATCCCACATGCATGTTCACATGATCATCATCAATGATTCCTCTGCATTCACGTGCACGGTGCACCCAATTGATTTTTGTCCACGTGAATCTAGTGCGCCAGCATTGCAGAATGGAAGGTGATTACCTACACGTTCCTTCCCCAACATCTGTTACAGTAAAAATTATTACCTTTCTTGCCATGAACACCAAAAGCTGCTACAAAAATCATCAGCAACAGGCAAATATTCACACAAAAATTCATTTTTTCTACATTTGTGAGGAAATATGTGGAGTATTAAAGAATTGTGATGCTGAACACAAAACTACAAAAATCTATGGTAACATTATAATATTTCCTGATGTATAATGTAACATTATACATCATAATATATAAATTCAATTTTTATGCGACTACAATATCAGATCACAACACAAAAGAGAAATTGGAAATCAATTTTATCCTGCGAGCATTCAAAAACAAGATCAAGCTTACCTCAGTTTGTAGTCGGCCTATTTCGAAACTTCGAAGAGAAACTTCATCTGAACAATGATTTGGAGTTCGATTGACCTGCGATATATATAACAACTATATTATTCATTGATCTAAAAATAACAGAAATAATGATTTTTTTAAAAATTTCGACAACGATATATCTATTGTCATAAAAGTATTTATATCGCTGTGTCGGATACGAATGTCTCGGCTGTAAATTACCA